TGATACTTGTTGTGGTGTTAAAGGATTCGTTGCTGTTGCTGTTGGTGATGATGGATTAACAGGAGGTGGTGATACTTGTTGTGGTGTTAAAGGATTCGTTGCTGTTGCTGTTGGTGATGATGGATTAACAGGAGGTGGTGATACTTTTTGTGGTGTTAAAGGATTCGTTACTGTTGCTGTTGGTGATGATGGATTAACAGGCGGTGGTGATACTTGTTGTGATGTTAAAGGATTCGTTGCTGTTGCTGTTGGTGATGATGGATTAACAGGAGGTGATAATACTTGTTGTGATGTTAAAGGATTCGTTACTGTTGCTGTTGGTGATGATGGATTAACAGGAGGTGATGATACTTTTTGCAAAGAAGCTACTGGTGTTAAAGGAAGTGTTATTATCGCTGGTGTTGGTATCATTGATTGTGTCAAAGAAGGTTGTGTTGATTGCGTCAAAGGAGATTGTGTTGTCAAAGGAGATTGTGTTGTCAAAGGAGCTACCGTTGTTGATTGCGTTAAAGGAGCTGCCGTTGTTGATGGCGGTAATTTAACAGGAGATATTATTGTTGATTGCGTCAAAGGAGGTTGTGTTGATTGCGTTAAAGGAGATTGTGTTGTCAAAGGAGCTATCGTTGTTGATTGCGTTAAAGGAACTGCCGTTGTTGATGGCGGTAATTTAACAGGAGATATTATTGTTGATTGCGTCAAAGGAGGCTGCGTTGTTGCTTGCGTTAAAGGAGCTACTGTTGTTGATTGCGTCAAAGGGGCTGCTGTTGTTGATGGTGGTAATTTAACAGGAGGTTGTGTTGATTGCGTCAAAGGAGGCTGCGTTGATTGCGTCAAAGGAGGTTGTGTTGATTGCGTCAAAGGAGGTTGTGTTGATTGCGTCAAAGGAGACTGTGTTAATTGCGTCAAAGGAGCTACCGTTGTTGATTGCGTCAAAGGAGCTGCCGCTGTTGATGGTGGTAATTTAACAGGAGACATTGTTGATGGTAGATTAACCTGAGCTGTTGATGCTGGCTGCGATGATGGATTAACAGGAACATTTGATGCTGATTGTGATGGAGCCGCTGCCTGTGTTAATGGATTCACTGCTGTATTAAAACTTATAAACAAAATAGATCTCAATTACATGTATTTTGAACATTAATTTCTCAATTCGACAAAAAAAATAATATTTACATCGGAACTGTGACTGCTAGTCTGCCATAGGAAATAAGAGCAATAATAAATAAATAAAGATGTGAAATTCTTAATATAAATTTCATCTTTATATTAAAGATAAATAATTGTTCAGTCCTAATATTGAGTGAAATATTTTTTCGTTAGTTCATTTATAATTTGCAAAGTTGTTTATTTTCTGTATTGATCATTCATTGTATCATACGAATTTTTATAGAGGCATTGTCACTACGACAAAATATGCATTACGGTAACAAAATGCCTATATACGGCGACTCAAATCAACTAGACAATACTAAATTTGGGAGTGAGCATCAAAAAGATCTTTTATAGAGTTTATGTACAGTCGCCACAAAAGCAATACCCGATTTGTATTGTTGCACATGCAATTATTCATAAAACTTTTGTACATGTGTCACACAGCAATGGAATACTCCATTTTATATATCCGACTCCCGACGCAGCTCCAGAATGAGATATATTTTATTATAAGCTAGAGCACTTTAACATCAGTAGTTCGAATTAAATAAAAATGCTACCACTCGATTCGCATAATCAAGACGAATCGAATGGTAATATTTTGATTGAATTTGATCGTTAGACGTCGAAAATATTGCGTAAATTGATCATTAACAAAAATGAAGATTTCATTGTACATGTACATGTATTTGTACAGTATGTCCGCCCAATTACATTTCGAAATTTATTAATTAAAGTAAAACATTTTATTCCGATTAATGATTTATAAGGTCATCAGGGTAAAGGAATAATAATTAGAATTAAAGAATAAAGAACTTGACACTGGTTTTCCCGAAATCTTCGCATTTTTAACATTGTGTCGAATTTGTTTTACCAGGTTGATTAAAAATTGTGCATTCTTATTTAAAATACTCATTATACCCGGTACAATACATGGCTTACAAAGTGGATAGAATGTAACGTAATCCCTTGTAGTTCTGGTCAGAAGGCTAATTCTTGCTGAAACTACATCCCCTGCCGTACAGTGTATAATGTAAAAACATACGGTATAGCTCAACAACTCACCCTCTGATTTTAACAATTGATAAATTTTTTGATTCTTTTAAAACTATTCTATTCTTCTTTGTCATAATTCAATCAGAAGTTTATCAATTTTTAAAAATTGGAAGCGGCAATAGATGCAGTAGAGTCTAAATTATGTTTTTTAAATCCTTTGTTTCGATTTATATAATTTTAATTTATATGGAAAGAATAAAATAAAATATTGTAAGACTGCACACTTGTTCTGAATTTTTTATAAACAACCGTAACATAACCTCATCATCATCTTAAATGGAAAACTACGCATATGTTTCGTTTTTCTTGAGCTTCTCTATTTCATTATATTGATCGAGATGTGTAAAGTTCTGGCGGAAATTAATGGCGGTTAAATTTATTTAAAAATAGAATTGTTTGACATAATAAATTTATCTAAAATTTTAATTACATAATATGGGTCAGTGCAAAAAGATTTGTATCTCAATATAAAAATCAATAATTGCTTCTAATAAAAATCATTCAAATTTTAATCAATCTTTATAATTTTT